TGTACACTCTAGCAGTCGCCCCGCTGATCAGATGACGGTGCCCTTGGTCATCGCCACCACCCGCCGGGAGAAGAGCGAGTGGCACCCGCTGCATGCTCCAGGCCCGCCAACTGAACAGACTGTGAGCCCACCAACAGACGGCTGAAAACGTGCAAGTGATCCAAACCCAGCGCATCAGGGTTTGAGGTGAAGACGGAGGAGCGTGAACAGAAATGACACAGGAAAGCCATGGCTTCAATGATGACAGTCACAGGAGAGCTGGAGCCAAGGGCGCCTCAGGGATCACGGAAAAACAATCAAATCAGAAATACACAAGAACAACAGAATTTAGGCCACTAAAGGTTCAATTTCATTTTTCGGAAATATTGATTTTTAAAGAGGTTTGATAAGGCCTTAGTGAATAAGCCACATTCCTGAAAAAGAAAGAACGGATATGAACATCCTCAGAAAAGTTTAAAGCAGTAAGCAAACAGAAAGAAATCTTTTAGGTTTCTAGACCTCCTTTCTGAGACTAGACCAGGCTAGGCCTCAGATTACATCTAAACTCAAGTAAAAGGGTAAGTTAAAATACTTATTTGGAAATTATTTGGTAAGTCAATCAATTTGACCAATTAATTTGTAGTGCAGTTTGAAGCAAAACCAGAGAATTCTTTATCTTTGCTTTAGGCCCTTTTCATATAGCACGACGTGATGTAAACAGCGTTTAGTCAGTGGATATAGCTGAAAGCTAAAACGGAACTAAATGACTGATTTTAACAAGACTTATGAGATTTTGCCTGGCACCATGCACAAGCCAAATTCTACACTATATGGATAAAATAGACTCTCCAGATGGAGAAAACTTAAACCCATATTGACTAAAAGCCTGCTATTTTCCAAACATTATGTTAGGCACTTTCAGAAATATTATTTCATTAAGAGATTGTTATGAGAGGTTTGGGGATTCGATGGGAGATGTAAAAGACACTTTCCACTCCAAACAAATGGACTGAAGGTATATTTTATTATATAGAGGATAGTAAAGGCGATAGTCTGCAAACAGATCCAAATAGGTCAAATATTAAGAGGGAAAAAACATCAGCCCGACTGGAAAGGGAAAACACCCACATTGGCTGAAGAGAAATGACACAAATCAACCGGAAAGAGAAACACCAGGTTGACCGAAAAGAGAATACATCAAATCACTTACTACATATTAAGTTAATTACTTCACATCACATTAGTTACTCACAACATCCACGCCCCACTGCCGGGAGAGCCCTGTCAATCGACGCGGCTGGGCAAGGATCACTCGTCCTGGGCAAGGCGTCCCTTCCACAGGTGGAACTCTCACCAGGGCTCAGTTTTCAGCAGTTTTTATACCATTAGTAATTTTCAGAGTAAGCAATTACAGAGTTTGTAGAGCAAGCATTTAATGTTTCCATGTACAAATGGTTATCAGTGGCGTACGTGCACTGAGCCCCTTGGCTAACGTCCCAGCCCAGTAGTTGTATACGTGCATTGTTTTCTTTGGTTATCGTCTTAGCCCGGCACAGATGGCCAGTCCATCCCGTGCTACGACGCTCCAAGAGCCTTGAAATGTTACAACTTGCAACTCCCTCCGTGGGAGAAGGGCCAGTTCCCACCTCGCAGAAAGCAGCTTTTATATTTCTTTTTGTGTTGGTGGCTGTAGGTCAATGGAGCGGCCAAACATGGCTGTACTCATGTCAAGACAGAGATGCACTCGTGAACTTATTTTTCAATGCTTACAGTACAAGTAAAAAACTACCAAACCAAGCATTTTAGTTCTTAAATTATGCTGTGTTAAAGAGCATCTTCTATTACAGAAAATATTACTAATTTTGTTTTTCAGAAGCTATGTTTGAGTGTTCAAAGTGGTAAAACTAGTGTTTCCTTCATGTTTTCTTCTGTCCAAATGGTAGTCAGAGAAAGGCATCAGACATGCTGCCTTTGTGCCTCACATTCACATTCAGTTTGATTCATATGAGGCCACCCTTTAGTGGAAACTTCACATAATAGCAAGGCTACACTGTTCTAAGATACCCAGGCTCTACGATTCTGGGGCATCTAAATGCTGCCTTGGCGACCTCATGGCACATGGTTGCTTGGAGTTGGTAAACCAAATTCTTGACTGCTTCTTCCATGAAGCCCAAGTTGCTCTAAACCACTCCATGGTTTCTCATTCTACCCATCACCACACATGCTGTCCCAGGGAAGGCCAGCCTACCACAGAGCCACGTGGCCCTGGAGACCACCAAGGTTATTCTGAGCCCAACAGTGGGGCTTCAGATTCATGCTGAGCTCCCAGAGGTCCACAGGGCTCTTCACGGAATAGCTATGGCGGCCCAAATGTTCATGACAGCTTAAAAGATTTGGGCCACAATTTTACATTAACTTGAGACAAAAAAGAAATGTAACTACCCTTCCCAATTGTAAGAAAAATGTAAGAAAAAATGTCTCTGGAGATGGATCTCTGCAAGAAAAAAGCATTTTCTGGCAGAGGGAAGGGAAAATGAATTCTCTGATCTGATTTCAACATTCCTAAACAGGCAGCAATAGGGTGAGACAGGGCGTCGCTTTGAGAAGTCTTATCACAGAAATGGAGAGCTGACACCCCCACTGGTGAGCTGCACGGAGGCAGCATTAACTCCTATCAGGGACAGGCCTGCTGACGTCTGGCTAATGGCTGGAGCTGCTCCCAACTTCCCCAGTGTGTCATATACCCTATGGTTACGGCAATAACCCAAAGAGATTTTCAAAATTAGCACTCATTTGTTGAGACAGGAAGAAGAAACCATCATAACCATTTTGGTAATTTAGACCTCACACTGTTTTTCTGGGAAATTCATTTAGAGGATATAAAAACAAAAGGGCTCCTGCGAGGGGAGGCCAAGGTTCTAACAATAAGTCTGTCTTCCTCCAGAAGACTTAACTCTGCTCCACTTGCTCCTTGTTCTTCTTGGTCAAAATAAAATAAATGCAAAGTTGTCTGTGCAAACCAGGCTATCACTGAAAGGCACAGTGTGTTCAATTTTGGTAGTAACATGAAAATCAGATGGACTCCAAATGAACCAAGGGGGAAACAGTTGCTAGGCACTGGGGGCCACATGACATGAAAAACGTGAATCTTTAAATACTAGGTTGACCCTGTTTGGGAATTGAGACCAACTGAGAGGATGTCAGATTCACGTCCCCCCAACATGTTCATCCCAGGACATGTGATCACTGTGCAGAACTGAGTGGAATGGTGGGTAGAATTATTCACACTACTAATGATTCTTTCTCCTTCGCACGCTCCGCTTTTTGCCTGCTCCGCTGAATCCAGTCAATTAAACTAAGCAACTGCCCTATTACAGACAAATTCAGTTCTAGAGGGTCAAGCTGTCATGGTTTGCAGGAACACTGTTCAAACTGTCAGGGCTGGTTATGAGGCAATCAGGACTGAAAAGAATCAGGCCCACATTTCCAAGCAAGAGAGTGTGTACTTTACAAGGCAAAGGACTGAGAGGTGCAAATAATACTTCTCCCATTCCACCCCTTGATACTGAATCCTGTTCTGTTTGCTTTACTCGGACCACCATCGGTACGTTTGCGAGTTCGCCTGTTTTGTTCTAGAAAGGGAAGAGAATTGAGAGGCTGTAATATGTTGGAGACATCTGCCAAGAGGACTGTGAGGGAGGAAAGAACACAGATACTTATAATCCTTATCTGGGGGATGCTGACAGAGTCTGCCCAAAAAAGAACAGAAAAAGAAACACTTGCGCCACAAAAGCCAGACCTGCTCATTACTGTGGGGCACGACTGACAGAGAGGACTTGGATAACGAAACATGAGGAGTGAAAGGCCCTTTGTCTCCCCCCCACTCAGGAATGCCCGTGCGGGATGGGCATCGGAGAGCCAAGCCCGACTCAATGGAGAGCTGCACTGCTCATGGCCATGTCCCAGGATCAGCCTGACAGCTTGGCCTCCGTTCAAGGGACCTGAATCATCTTCTTGGTTCAACACGAATGAGTCAGAGCTCAAGCACAGGGCCCAGGCCCTCACAGTGAGACCAGCACTGCAACCAGGCCGCATTAGCGGCTGAATCAGAACCGCCCCAGAGACCATGCCAAACAAGTGCGCTGCCAAAAACAGCAGACGTCCGCTGGGCACGTATGTGTGTGAACTCACCTCATCCTCAGGAAAATGCGGAGGTGGGTATTATTTTCCTCCTCCTTTTGCATGGGGGCACTGAGGCACAGAACCTAAGCCACACAGCAGTTCAACGCAGAGTGAGGACACACGCCCTGCCTTTCTGGCCTCAGAGGTGACTTACTGTTGGACCACCTCTCAAACAAAAAGGACTAACTGCCCCACGTTTCCTGAGTGCAAGGGTGGGCCAGGCCCTCTTCTAACCACGTCACATGATTCCCTCCCTCAGTGCTCACGGTGACCCTTGGGGGACACTGAGGCAGTGAGAAGATCAGTAACAAGCCCAACTTATACTGAACTAGAAGTTCCAGGACTGGGAACCGTCTAGGCAGTGGCCATTCCAGGATGTGACTGAGGAAGTCCAGCTCCACAGCCCCGCTCTGGACCAGGACACCACACTCTGCCAGCATCTTGCTTCACCCCCACAACTGTGGAGGGAGCTGCTCACACCCTCACCTGAGAGGAGGGACTGAAACTCAGCAGCCAGTACGAGGCAGAAGCAGGGTTTGTGCCCAGTCTGTGTTCTTGACGATGATGCATGGACGATTTATCAGAGGGCCGGGCACCACAGGAACCCATGGGAACCTTCTCCCATGAGGCAGCCAAGTGCCCTCTGGGTAACTCCAAACGTGCAGTGATCGATGACATCAAGGCCTCTCCCCATCACAGCCGTGCTTCTTATAAGAAGAGTCTCCTCCCAGTCCTCTTGGGGGACGGCCCTCAGAATGACAGTGAGGCACCCAAAAAGTCTCAAATCCCACGCCCCTGCCCTCACCACCCCCAACAACAGTTAAACCGCTGGCACTTACGCTTTAAACGCTGGGAGGTAGGAGTATATAGAAATGCTGCTTAGGTTATAAATAAATGGCAGGTGTTTTCTGATATCTGTCGTGGCCCAGCTGCTAAAAAATGTGTTCAGTAAACCCTGGTCCCCACCTGAAAGAAAAGAAATGAGTTACAGTCACAGACTTCAAGGACAGGTCAACCATTTTATAGGAATATATAACTGGACCTTTAAAAATAGGTACTAATTTCATTTTTAAAATAAGAAATTCCATGTTCAACCTACTAAAGACGTTTTAGGGGGTGGCCATTTCCCTGAGTTAATTCTTTAATTCAACAAATATTTACTGAGCAGCTACTCTGTGCCAGACACTGCCCTAGGCCCTGAGAGTCCACGGTGAACAGAGACAAACTCCTCATCTTTATGAGGCTCAGGTGGAGGTGCACCGATACCAGCAACTCACGAGTCGATCAACATCACCACAAACGGGGATGAGGGCAGTGAAGGAAAGTACTGGGTGCTGTGAAGCATGTGGAAGGGGCTCGAGACCTTGTCTGATGGGTCAGGGAAGGCTTCCATGAGGAAGCTGTATGCAAGCCAAGATGTGAGGGGTGCAAAGGAGCAGCTGGCAAATGCAGGTGGAGAGAAGGGGGCCAGATGGTGCTCCAGGCAGAGCAAACAGCACACACCAAAGACCTGAGGTGGGCGGGAACGGGAAGCCATGGAAAGAAAGTGGCCTGTGTGAAGGGACTGCAGAGCGGAGAAGGGGCTGCATGGTGCCAGGGGAGTCTCAGAGGGGTAGGCATGGACTAGACCACTCAGAGTTTAGACTTCATCCCCTGTTAAAGATTTTAGACTTTATGTTAAGAGCAATGGGACAGAAAAAAAAAAGTAAAAAGCAAAAAAGAGTAAACTAGATAACGGAATTGTTTTCCAGAGCCCCCATCTGTTCGCTCATTGACAGAAGGCCCAGAAGGCCACATCACCCCGGTGCTCTCTCCTGCCGCTGACCAAGCCTCCCGGAGGCCTGGGTCAGTCATCACTGGGGCCAAGGTTGGCCACTACCATACAGCACAGTTATTGCTCAGCTCCTGGAGGGTCCTGGGCTTCAGGCCGTCCTTGGAAAGTGAAAACCACAGCCATTCACTCAAAAGATATAAAAACAATAAAACTCTACATGGCTAACTGTCTGACCTACATCATAAACACGCAAGTAATCAAATAAGCCGCCTCAAAACACATTCCGCCACGTAGTCCATGTGCTTTCTGTCTCAGGCTCATGCGATTTCAGGAAACACGGATGGAACCCACCCCCTGCACAGCAGAACAGCAGCTCAGGTGTGTGGGCGTGTGTATGTGTGGGTATGGGGGACGGCAGGCAGGGACAACCCTGCTTTTTCGAAGTGCGAGGCTGGTATACTGCACAGTTACTCCCCTCCTTGGTCTGCTTTGCCCTGAGAGTCAGTTTCCTTTCTGAACATACAGCAGGTCCAACTGGCTGTTGTTATTATTTGTTTTTTCTTGATTTTGAAAGAGATATGAAAAACCTGGAGATTTTTTTTTTTTTTTAATATTTGGAGCTAAGTAGTAAGATCAGGGCATTAGGTTTAAAGTCCAAATGTACCTTATCCATCCTCCGTGTATCCCATCCTTTCCAAACACCCTCAATCAATTCTATGGATCAAAGGCATTCACTGAACGAATGTCTGTGGAGCAACCTCTCTGTATAAGGAGGCTCTGACAGGTCCCCATTCCTCAAGGGACAAACGGCTCAACAGAAAAGTGAGGTCTCACCCTCAGAAGTTCCAGAGGACAATAAAGATGGCATGGGGATATACTTCACTTGTTACATGAACAGAAGAAGATTTTAGCTATACAGACAAATTAACATTCTGAGACACAGAACATTAAAGCCAAACACCATACCATTCACCAGAGGCTTACTTTGGAGTCTACAAAGACACCCCACATGTGGGCACAGACATTGGTGGTTGGGGTACAGAGGCCTGAAGTCTTACTAATTCCCTTTCACCCAGAATCATCAAAATAAAGGTTGAGGAAATGTTCATAACTGCTTTATTCGTAATAGTGCAAAACTGGAAAGAGCCCAATGTCCTTCAATGTGTGTACGAATGTGATACCTCCTTAAAATGGAATATTACTCAGCAATATAAAGGAACAAACTATTGATACCCACAATTTGGATCTCAAGGGAATTATGCTGAGTGACAAAATCCAGTCCCACAAGGTTCCATACTATATGATTCCACTTATGTAACATCCTTCTCATGACAAAATTAGAGAGAATAGATTCGTGGTTGTCAGGGTTGGGGAAGGGGAGAGAAGTAGCCATCGCTACAAGAGGGTAGCACGAGGGGTTCTTGTGATGGGAACTGCTCTGTGCCTTGACTGTGGGGTGCTCACACCAATCTACACCAATCTGTGACAAAACTGCACAGAGAACACATACACATACACGCACACTAATGAACACATGTGAAACTGGTGAAATCTGAGTAAGGTTGGTGGATTGTGTCAACGTCAATTTCCTGGTTGAAGAATTGCAGTTATGACAGATGTTACCACTGGGGGAAACTCAGCGAAGGGCATACGGGATCTTTCTGTATCGTTTCTTACACTTGTGTGTAAATCTACACTTCTCTCAAAAAGTTTTTTAAAAAGTCTGAGGATTGACGTGGTTAAAATGCAAAATACAATCAAGAACTCTTAGTCATTGGATTCTAAATTCCACAAGGACAGAGATTATGATTCTTTTTGCTTCCACTGTAATTCCAGCATGTAGCAGAATGCCTTTTACACACAGATAAATTACTTGTAGAATGATACAAGAAGCTTGAAGACATCTGTAACAGCAGAAAAGTTGAAACAGCTAGAATATTCCGCCACAGAGGAATGGTTAGTACACTGTGATACTGACCACTCATGGGAATATTATTCAGCCATTAAAACTAATGGCTATAAAGACCATCAGTCCACTGCATAATATAAAGATATACAGCAACATACATCGAGACTACAACTAAGAACATAAGGAGACAGGTGTTACAGATGTTCCCGCCCCGCAACTTTTCCTTAATATTGTTATATTATTTGTGTAATTTAAAAATATTAATAATACAACTAGGAGCAAGAATGAGGATTGCGCTAAGACCTTTTCTTTCTAAACATTCTTTACCTGTTAATTTATTTTTGTCATGCAGTATGATACTATTAAAGGGAAATCATACGTATAGGTTATAAAGCATATTAATAATAAGCCTCTATACACCCAACATCTAACTGAAGAACACGAATATGACCAGTACTGATTCAGTTCTCTGTGGGGGCTCCCCAATCCACTCTCACTGCCCCTCCCCCACAGAAGTACAACTAATCATGAATTCTGTTTGTAATTGTCTTGATTTCCTTTATTTTACCACATATGTGTGGATCCCCAGACAACATATGAGTTTTGCTTGTTTCTGAGCTTTGCAAAATTGAGCGTCATACTATACATTTTTTCTACTATTTTTTTATGCCACATTATAAGACATTTTTTAAATTAAGCAATTCCACTTGAAATGACTATTTGCCACATGTAATGCAGTGAAGAAATCTAATTCCATGAGGTCAGAATAGTATTGTAAAAGAGAACATCCCAATCTGGCTGGTGAGCCTGGGAAACAGAAGTCAGAGCCATCGATCCCTCAAAGCCCCTGGCCAGCTGCCTCTGGCCACAACGGGCCATTTCCGCTCACCCTCAGGGACGCTACACACATCCTCAGGCCCTCAGCCGTGAGCCGCAGCAGGGCTGAGAACCAGTGAAACAGGAGACCAGCAAGAAGTGGGCCAGGCGAGACGGCCGACTGTGACTCGGCGGGTCCCATTCAATGGGCAAATCCTTAAACGCTCCCCAAGAACACTGCCTCTGGAGGGGGCAGTACAGACCATGTAACTTCCATGGCCACCGACCTCATGTGTGACTACACTGCCTTCACCTTTTAGCCAAAAATTGTAGATTAAAACTAGAATTAAATATCACCTAGAAGTCTGGGGCTTCTTAAGTAATTTTTAAATTCAGCATTCTAACCATCTTTTTCCAAATGCACAATTCCACATCTCAAGGTCAGGCAAATGTTTTAGCTTCATGAGAAAAATCTATGTGTGGTGTTATCAATATCCTCTCTCTGTGAGTCTCTAAATTAGAGCACAATTCAGGGCAGAATGCAAAACTCAGCACGTCTGTGCTACAAAGCATACAAGGATGCCATGCAGACTGCTGAATTTCCACCATAGAAACCCCAGGACTTCTGTCCAGTACATTCTAGGCAGACTTCCAGAGGCAACTTGATTTATTCTGACAGGTTAAGACACTTTTACTCTCAATCATCTCAGAATCAACAAACACGATTAGCAGGCATGTGAGCAGCTGTGATCCAGCGGCCCAGCGCGTGGGACGCAGGTGAGAGAGAGACAGAGAGGAAATGGCACAGGGACACATGGCACCTGTTCTGCAAACAGGAGCAAATATCAGGTTCTGTATCATCCTTCCCCCAGGCTGCCCGTGTGCTAGGAATAACCTTACAACCACTTGGCATTTGCCAGGTCTTCTGACCAGGGGCAGGAACCTGGTAATCATGGACCTATCACAGCATTTATCCCAAATCGGGCCTCTTAATTCCCAGGACAGAAATGGAGGTGAGTGCTGTCTTCTCAATTTGAGCACTTGTCAATGTTTGTATAGTTTGTTGTTTGTTGGCAGCTGGCTTGCCTACGTGGGTAGCAGGGAGGTGAGGTCAATTCTGGTTTAAACATGCACCCGAGTATCTCAGCCACAGGGATGTTGCCCCTAGAATCATGCTACTCAAAGTGTGGCCCAAGTTCCACCAGCATGGGCATCACCTGGGAGCTTGATGGAAATGCAGAACATTAAGCCCCACTCCAGACCTACAGAGTCAGAATCCACATTTTAATCCCCAGGTGATTGGTTTGCATCTTAAAATTTGAGAAGCACTGGTCTAGAGTCTTTTACAGAATGATTCCTTTTTTATTTTATTATATCAGAGAATGTAACTCTCAAAAATGTCACTTCTATAGAAAATGTCTGAAGTTACATAAATTAGGTATAGGCATTATAGATAGGATGATGAAT